TTACAATTTTGCAATAAAAGCTTATTAAATATTATTTTTATATTAACATTATTTTAACATTATTTTATTATTAAACTTTATTTTAATTTATTAATTTGATTATATACAGTTGAAAAAATGCAAAAAAGGAAAAAAAGTTAGCAAAAAGTAGGTCTCGAATATGGGATCTTTAATATTCAAGCGATTCGCCTTACTCGATTAAAAAACGCTTGATTCTTTGTTGTACGCTGCTGTTGATCAAACAGTCTAACGCACGGCAAGGACGCGTAACGTAAATAGCTTCGCTTGTGGATATAACATGGACATGAACCATCTCAGAAAATAGACGTGACTTTTTGACCGATGCGGAAAATGGACGTGGCTATTTAGTTCCTAAGCCGGCCGGAAATGGACGTGCGTCACTAGCGTACGGCCTAGAGAAAGCGTCGTACGGAAAACGGCAGCGTGGCCTCTCTCAGGTTTCTCTCTGGTACCGCAATCCATAAGATACATTGGAGCCAAAATGGCAGCAAAAAGTGTAGATAGTGCATACATAATGTAAGTCATATATACTTTAAATGCAGTCTAGCCTTCTGTTGTGCATCATTTTTGCTTTAAAAAAATGTAAAAGAACGAAATGCCAGGTTGCTGTGTAAAAGGCTGCTATAATTGCAGCGAAAGAGGGTTTAGATTATTTCGTATGCCAACCGGAATGAAAAATATTGAAAGAAGACAAGAATGGCTTCGATTAATTGGAAGAAACACATAACCACAAAGAGCTCTAATTTGTGAGGTATAATTAATGAATTATAATTATGTAAAACATTATGTATTATAATAATAATTATTCCTTCAATTTTACAGGTGCATTTTGACGAAAATCAATTCAAGAACAATCGAGCAGATGGAAGGAAATTGCTCCGTTCATTTGCAATACCCAACTTATTACACGCAATAGAAAATAACTCTAATAAGGACTCTGAAGTAGAAAATAATTCCAAAAAAGTAAAATATAGTACCGATAATGGTAAGAATATAAATAATTTTCATGAATTTTACATAATTCAATAACACTTAGATATACAAATAAAACGAGTATAACCCAGGTATAATTATCTGAATTATTTCTTTTTATGAACACATATTATTGTAATGTAATTGATAATGTTATTTGAAATCATTTGCAGATGAATATGAGAACAATGCAAATAATTTGAATAAAAATTCCTGCAGTAATATCAATAACGGTGACGTTATTGTAAACCTAGAAATTGTTTCTGCAAATTATAGTACTAATGAATCAGGATATGAAACAACCGATGTGACAATGAGAGATACTACATCAAATGAAAAACTCAATGAAAAAATAAAAAGTTATGAAGAACATATTAAAAAATTAAAGAAATCTTTGAATAAGACTGTGGTGGAACGTAATATCTTAAAAAGAAAATTACAAAAAAGAAATGCAAGATTTAACCAGATATTTAACGAAGATCAAAGGGATTTTATCACACGTAACACACAAAGAGGAGCATTATGGTCTGCAGAAACAATTACAAAAGCATTAAGACTTTATGCAGCATGTGGACAAAAAGGCTATGAAGAGGTGCGCCGACAGAACTTACCGTATCCAAGTATTCGCACTCTGCAAAATCGAATACAAGGCTTAAAATTTAATCCAGGTATATTAGAAGATATCTTCAATATATTAAAAATAAAAGTTAGTATTTGTAATGTTTAATCAATGTTGTAGAATATTTTCAGACAGCACAAAACATTCGCAGAATATTCTATAATATTCTGTAAATATTGTAGTGTCCAAATATTTTACAATATTTTGCGAATATTCTGTGCTAATTGAGTATTGTTTTTTTGCAAATATTTTTTATTTATATTTATATGTAATAAACATTAACAATTTACTATTTACTTATGATTTTATAATTTAATTTTAGATACAATCATTCGTACCTGAAGAAAAACATGTTGTGCTATTAATTGATGAGATGTCCATAAAACCAGGTTTGCAATATGATAATTCAATCATGTCAGTTGTTGGTCGACCTACCATAAAATTAGCAGGAGGATTAAATAGCTCTGATAAATTAGCAACGCATAGTCTTGTTTTCATGTTGTGCGGTATTTCCACAAAATGGAAACAAACTGTTGCTTACGAATTGACAGGAAATTCATTCTGTTCAGAAGAAATGTATAATAAAATTATATCAATTGTTCAAAAAGCACATAATATCGGATTAGTAATAAAAGTTATAATTTCTGATATGGGACCACAAAATAGGAGTTGGTGAAATATTATGAACATAATTGTTGGTAAATCTTGTAAGCTTCATAATTATGTTAAACATCCATATAATAGTCAAGATAAATTGTTTATTATGCCAGATTCTGTACACGTGTACAAAAATGTTGCATGTTCATTAACATCGGGAAACAAATTTTATTTAAACGAAACTCTAGTAAAAAAATATGATCTACCATCCAATGAAATTTCTATGACACCTATTCGAGAAGTATTTAATTTAGATAAAAATGATACATTAAAACTGTGTCCCCATCTTAAGGAAAACGCTATAATCCCATCTCATTTTGATAGAATGAATGTAGGTTTAAGTGTAGGCTTATTAAATAAAAGTGTTGCGTCTGCTATATTGTTTCATATAGCCAATAATAATATAGCTAGTAAGCATAAAACCACTGCTTGGTTTGTCAATAGTATGTACAAATGGTTTAAAATCATGACAGGGCGTTATCAAAAGCTTGCACTATCCTATTATCAAGTAGATGTGTACAAAGAGAGTATTGATTTTTTGCGAGATTTTATGGAGATTGTCCGAGGAATCACGGTCTCAAACGGAGGATGGAAACCTTTTCAAAGTGGCTTACTACTTTGCACACAAACTGCTTTAGATGTGCAAGCTGAATATTTAGAAAAACATAATTTTAAATATTTATTACTAGGGAGGTTTACACAAGATGCTCTGGAAAATCTATTTTCACAAATTCGAGGGAGAAAATCTGTGCCAGATGCACGTGAGTTTAAACAGGCGTTAAGACTTATTTGCTTGGCACAGTTTCAAGCTAATATTAATCGTAGTAATTATTCTGTTATTGACTCTCAAGACCTTATTTATTATTGCAACGAAATAAAGCAATTAGATTCTAGAAATACTTCTGTAGAAGAGAGAAGCCTGCAGAGCAATGAAGATTTATGGGATGTAAACATTTATCAATCATTATTGGGAGATGAAGCAAATTTAAATGATACAACGCAAGCTGCGTTGTATCATTTAATAGGTGCTTTATTGTTTACAATAAAAAAAATTGTACACATTGTAATAATTGTTTTAATGCCCTTATTGTCACTACGAATGATTGTAATAATTCCATTAACAATAATCTTACTTTTTATACTAAATTAAGAGAATATAAGGAAAATATTTTGATTTTTACAAATATAGAGGTATATAATTTAATATATAAATGCGAATTAATATTTCGAAAAAATGAGACTAACTTACTTTCAAATAAGTTAAAAGTTACAGATTTTATAAATATGTTTTTAAAAGAATATTCCATATGTTTTATTCCTTCGTGTCACAATATTGGCTACAAACTTATAAAAAAATTTATTATTACAAGAATTCATTTTTCACTAAAAAAAGTAAGCAGTGACATTAAACAAGCAGTTAGTTATAGCAGCAAAAGTGTTGCTATGAAAAAATCTAGCTAAAACATAAATAAAATAGTCTTTTATTATTTTATTAATATACATTTATATTTATATAAATAAGTATTATTTATATTTTATTTATTATATGTATTATATATATTTTATTTACATATAAAATTTATATATATATACATTTATATATATATATATATAATTATAAATAAAATACTTATTTAAATTTAGGTTTTATTTTTTCTCATTCTTACCTTGCAAAATATTCATACAATTGAAATGGCCGCGTAGTGTGGAGCCAAAATGGCGGCTTTTTTCCCCTAATTGCGGTACTTTGTTATCTAGTGACTGGGGAGAAAGCTAGAGCTATCGGTCGCAATTTTCCTAAATGGAACGCCAGAAAAGTGGACCTAGATGCGTTTAAGTCTGCAGCTATCGTCAAATCATGGGGATATGCAGAGACTAATTTTGATTCGGTAAATAAATTAGCTGGATGGATTAACGCGACGTTAAAACAAATTTGTAATCACTCAATGCCTAAGAATAGCGGCAGAAACAAAAGATCGGCTTACTGGTAGAATAAAGATCTTGCAAATCTGAGGCGAATTGTGATCGATTCCAGAAGAGCTCTCTCGAGGGCCAGAAAGAAGCGGTGCGAGGAAATCACTAGAAAGAGATATAGGGAGTATCGATCCTCTCTTCTCAAATATAGAAAAGGTATTAAAACTGCCAAATTTAGAGCTTGGAACGACTTAATTAAAGAGCTAGACGAAGACCCCTGGGATCTTCCGTATAAAATTGTCCTAAATAAGTTGAGGCCTGTTTCACAGCCTATGGGTGTTTTTCAACTAGAACACGCTAAATTGTACTGTGTTACACCGTGTGGAACTTTTGTTGGAACGATAAAGTGTAAATCTAATTTCTGAAAATCTCAGTAGAGGGCATTATAGTTCTCCATTTTTATTACTAGGAGGGATTGACATTATTGTAATTATTGTAACAACGAAATTAGAAGAGATTGACATTATTGTAATAACAAAAAATTATTGTAATTAATTTTTATAGTTAACCAAATTTTGAATGAGGATATATTTTGATTAAATTTTGTTTTAATTTTACTTTTATGTGAATTGCAGATGATGAATCGTAAGATTATATTTACTTTGACTAAAACTGCTGAGATAAATAGTGATAGTGATATTTCAATAAGCAGTAATGTGTTAGCAAAATGATCCAATGAAGCAATTGCGTTGTTACAATGTTTGCACGTAAATTCTGAAAAATATAATAAAATATGTAACAAATGTTTTATTGATAATAATAAGTAATAAAATTTGTATGGCATATTTTTATTGTATTTTTTAATGTTTTATTTTACCATTAACTTCCAAAATATGATTGAGATTAAATTTATAGAGATAGAGCTTCACAATTTTCAATCTTGTACTCTCGCTCTCTCGTATCGTTGTATTATTACATTTATAGATTATGATCAAAAGTATTACCATCATTTAAAATTATAAGATTTCTTAAAATGTTGGTAACACTGGGACATTTTACACGCTTGTACTTAGCTTTTTATTGTGTCGAGCAGTGTAACATGGTGTCACTGTTGGAATAGTTCGTGTTGGACACAGTGTCACACTGTGTCATCTGTGTAACTTGTTGGAAAACACCCTATATGTGAGACACTACCGCATAAAGATATATTGCATATTGTAGATGCACTTTTTCCGAGAAGAGAGGATACGAGTATAGATAATCATCCGAGGCTCTTGGACTGGAATGATAAATTGTTAGTTTCTGAAAAGCGACTAAGGGAGGCAGCGAGTAAGATTAGAGGTTGCAAAAAAGCTCCTGGCCCAAATGGTATTCTGGGGGCTGTACTGAATGGTAGTATGGGGGATCTTATGGGGGTGTGGCTCTCGTGCTTTAACAGATGCTTCAGGGAGGGTAGATTTTTTCGAGCGTGGAAGAGAGCTAGATTGGTCCTGTTGAGGAAGAGGGAAGGTCAATTGACTGACCCCCGAATCTACAGACCGATCTGCCTTCTTAATGAATCTGCAAAATTTCTGGAGAGGATCATCGTATCGAGAATACATGATCATCTGGAGTCGACTGGCTCCCTCTCTGTTAACCAATTTAGTTTCAGGAGGGGGAGGTCGACTCTAGACGCGATTTTGAAACTAAGGGAAGTAGTCAGGGGGGAGTTAAGCGGGGGGAAAATGGTATTCGAAATTAGTTTCGATATTGAGAATGCCTTCAACTCCATACCGTGGGGGGTAATCAGGGGAGCCATGATTACTATGAGATTCCCTGAGTATTTGTATAAAATTATTTGCGCTTACTTGTCCGATAGGAGTCTCTCCTATGTCGACTGCGATGGTGTCATCCGGGTATCTCGGATGTCATGTGGAGTTCCGCAAGGTTCGGTTCTTGGACCCACCCTGTGGAACATAGGATATAATAGGATATTTGATCTTTCTCTACCAGAGGGTTGTTGGACGCTGGGATACGCGGATGACACCATCCTGTTGGTTTCGGGGACGGATTTCGCGGAAACGAAGGATAGGACGATGTTATCAGCGGGTATAGTGGTGAGGGAGATCAAGAGGTTAGGCCTTAAAATCTCCCTACATAAAACGGAAATCATGGGTTTCCCGGCTTCTTTATTTGGGCGTGGACCCCCCAGAAGCTTCTTTATCAAAGATAGGGACATTAAAATCGCAAAAAGTATCAAATACCTTGGAATAGTTTTAGACGGGGATTGGTGCTACACGCAGCATTTCCGATATGTGTCTGCAAAGGTAGACAAAATTATTGGGGCTTTATGGGGGATTATGCCCAACTGTAGGGGCCCGGGGGAGAGGAAACGAAGGCTCTATCTCAATGTAGTAACCTCAATTATTTTATACGGAGCACCGTTATGGTGCGATATGTACTGTACTAACAAGGCCGCAAAGTCCCTGATAGAAAAACTGCTTAGAAGAATAACGCAGAGGGTATGTTGCACCTATCGCACCGTTTCTTTCACGGCATCTATGGTTCTGTCGGGTACCTCGCCTATCGAGTATTCTGCCAGGAGACTGGCGGATGTATTCTTTAGGATAAGGGAGGCTAGATCTCTGGGAGAGGAAATTTCCCTCAGATCTAGGGAAAGTATAAGTCTTGCGGCGAAGAGAGAGGCTATGTTGGCCTAGAAAAAAGACCTGGAGATGTTGGGCGACGGTCGATCGGGGGATCGAGTGAGAAGGGCTATAGTCCCCGTACTCATCGAATGGGTTAATAGGAGCATGATTGGGTCACATTCCATATGGCCCAAATTCTTACAGACCATGGGTGTTTGAACGAGTTCCTGTATAGAATTAACAGAACTGACTTACCGCTGTGTCAGCAATGTTTTGCGGGCTACGACAACGCCCAGCATACCCTGGGGGCTTGCGAAGCGTGAACCGCGGAGCGCGAAAAACTAATAGAAGCGTTGGGCGTGGATTTAGATTTACCTTTGGTGGTGGAGGCCATACTGGGGGATCCGGAGAAGTGGAGAGTCTTCTCGGGATTCTGCAGTAGGGTCATGTCCAGTAAGGAAGCGGACGAGCGTTCTCGTCAGGCCACTGAAAGGAGTAGAAAAAAAAGGGGGCTGGTCACTTAGACTCCGAAGCCTTAGAGTAGAACTTCGATGTATAATTATAGTTGAATTCTTGTTTCTTTATTATTCATTATATACCTGAGATAGGTAGCTCTCCTCCTAGTATTGGTTTGACTTATATATATATATATATATATATATATATT